GGCCGAGCCCATGGGGGTCCCCGCCTCGCTCCATAGCTGGGCTGGATGGGGGCGGGGCCGTGGCTGAGGCGTGGCTCTGTCTGTCCGTCCAGGTGGTGTACTTCACAGCCACCTTCCCCTACGTGGTGCTCACCATCCTCTTCGTGCGCGGCATCACCCTGGAGGGCGCCGTCACCGGGATCATGTTCTACCTGACGCCACAGTGGGACAAGATCCTGGATGCCAAGGTGGGTCCAAGCCTGGGGCGGCGCTTGGCCCTTCCAGCACCCAGGGCAGTGTCCGTCCCCACTCAGCAGGGGGTCCCTGTGAACACCCCAGGAACGCCCCCCACCCCAGTACGGCCCTGTATGGTCACCAGGCCCCCCGCCCTGCCCCACAGGCAGACGGGAGGAGAAGGGAGAGACTCTGGGCCACACGCGAGTCTTGAGGCGGCAGCATTGGGTCCCACATGGGCCTGACCCCAGGCCAAATCCATGCCCCCAGCTAGCCCAGCCCTGGGCTATCCCGGCCCACAGCTCCGCCAGCGCCTCTCAGTCCCGACCCGCAGCCCCCCGCTAGCCCAGCCCTGGGGCCGTCTCTGGCTACCAACCCTAGCTGTATGATGTGAGGGTGGCCCTGGGCTGGGCACCTGCCCCATGGCATTGTGGGGGCGAGACCCCAGTGCCCTCTCTGCCAGTGGTAACATCTCTGTGTCTGCCAGGTCTGGGGAGACGCTGCCTCCCAGATCTTCTACTCTCTGGGCTGCGCCTGGGGGGGGCTCATCACCATGGCATCCTACAACAAGTTCCACAACAACTGCTACAGGTGAGCCCGGGCCACGCCCCCCGACTCCCACCCATGCTGGGCCACGCCCCCCGACTCCCACTGCCCCCTGCTGGGCCACGCCCCCAACTCCCACTGCCCCCTGCTGGGCCACGCCCCCGGACTCCCACTGCCCCCTGCTGGGCCACGCCCCGCAAATCCCACTGCCCCCTGCTGGGCCACGCCCCCCCGACTTTCACCCCCTGCTGGGCCACACCCCCTGACACCTACCCCCTGCTGGGCCACACCCCCGGACTCCCACTGCCCCCTGCCTGGG